ACCCACCCTGAGCCCCGAGCCCCCCCAGTCACAGGGAGACCCCCAGCCTCCCGCTCTGAGAAGCAGCACCCCGGACCTTTGGACAGACAGCTGCCCGGGCCCTCCAGACGGAGCCTCCGGATGGGGTCTCTAGATGGCCTCTTCAGACTGACCCATCCCGACTGGCCCTCCAGACCAGCCCCTCCAGGCGGACCCTCAGACCAGACTCACTTTGGTTTGAATCTTGACTAGGACCTCGCTGCTCTGTGGAAGTGAATGCAAAGCCCAAACACCTTGGGGGAGGCATTGACCTGGGACCCCCCTGCACGGCTTGCTGATCCACCTCTACCTGAGGCCACCCAGGAGGACCTGCTTGTGTCTCTCCCCCAGCCAATGACTGCATTTGGGGCATTGCCAACCCCCAGGTGGGAACGAGGGCTGCTGTGTACTTCAGCTCCCGGAGTGACAGGTGCTGCAGTATTCAGGGGGCCGAGACATCCTTCCCTGTGCATGGCCCCGGAGAGCAGAGCTCCTCTCTTCTGTGCAAAAACCTCTGCTTGACGCCCAGACTTCAGCTTCCTCAAGCGCCGGCCCCTGGCTTCCCTCCCCAAGCAGTCTGCAAGGGGCCGTCGGTCACACTGAACATGTCATCATCAAATGTATGATAACCGGGCAGGCGAAAATATATAAATAATGCAAATCTACATGAATAGAATAGAGATGGAAGAGGAATAGTCATAAATAAAATACATGAGTCAGCCAAAGAAGAAATTGTATTTTTATATGCCCTAAGCTCCGTTTTTGGCCAAATCTACTTCTTTCACCATGTCAACCTATGCATTCTGCAAGACACGTCATTGGAGGAAGAAGGCCTGATGCAGAAAATCATGAATTACATGATCACTGGCCGTTTGGAAAAGGAAACACGAGGTGCAGCGTGCCTGCTTCCCATGCAGTTAAGGTTGCTGAGGGCAGGTGAGTCGGGGTGACTGGGGGGCCTTAGGAGACAGCTCCGTGCGGTGGTCAAGGTGCCGTCCATTGCCCATCACGGACGCTTGTGCAATGTTTGACTTTTTAGCTACGTGGTGTATGCCATGACACTAAGTAACGTGAAATGTAGATAAGAAAAGCTTTCTGCCATCTTCCCCGGGGCTGTCGAGCCTTACCAGCAACCGCCTCCAGGGGGCGCCACCTGTGTAACATCTTTAGACTTCAGCCATTGCCTTTGTCCCTGTCAAGGCCTGAGCCCACCCCCCCCCCAGGGAGTGACCCCCCAGGGCTAGCAGAACCCCTGCCTCCCCGCTGTCCCCTCAGCAGTGGGTCTCAGTGGACCCACCTGTTCTGCTCCCCATTCTTTGTCTGGGGCGTCCTCCCACTCCCAGACCTCTGGCCTGCACCCTAGTTCTTTTACACACACAATAAAATCCTAAAATTTCAAACCATTGATAGCAATAAAAGAAAGTTAATGGCAGCAGAAGGAGGGAGGCGTAGGCAGTATGGGTGGAAGAGATATAAGATAGAGGGGCAGCAAGAACCGTGGAAGGATCTAAAAATGCTCATTATCTTGATTTTTATGTACAAATCAAAAGTTATAAAATCACAAACTTCAGACATGCAGCGTCTGTCAACGACCCCTCACTAGAGATGTCAAACACCATGCTATCGGCAGTGGCTCTCTGTGCAATGGTGAATCACTGGGTTCGTCTTTGCCATTGCCGACTTCATTGCCGAGTGTCTGCTTTGACCAACTACACGTAATGACAAACATTTTTATCAGCCACGTGTTTGGGTTCCTTTTTGCAAGCTGCAATCCGTGCATGTGTTGAGATTCCCGTGCTGACCACTCCAGGTACAGCCAGGCACAGCGAGAGCAAAGCCTCCAGACATGGGCTGGCCAGGAGCCCACAGTTTTACAGGCCATTTCTGCGAAGATGAAACAGACTAGCTGTGGTGCCTGAGACAGGGTCTCAGTTCAGGTGGACGTGGGCAGGCATACGTGGTCAGTCTCCCTGCAGGATTTTGTGGGGACAGAGACCCGAGGCGAGCTCAGCCCGTGAGAAAGGCCGGGAAGCACTACGTCACATCCCCAGGGGATGCCCACTCAACAGCTGGTCACCGGGTCACCCGTCCCTGTGGGGACCTGCCCTGGTCAGCCCCATCTATACTGTCCACCAACAGCCCCCCCCCACCCCTCCTGACATCAGGGGCAAAAGACGAGCTGGGGGGACTTGACAGCCACCTGACTGCTCTGCTCAGTCACCACCAGCCACGGCCTCGGCACCTGCTACCAGACAGAGAGCTCCAGGTGAATGGCCTGGGCAGAATGGGCCATGTTTCAGGCCCCTGTCCACTGCCCAAGGTCATGCCAGCTGCTCCTTTGAGCCTACGTCCACTCCACCCAGCACCTTACCCTCTGAGCGCCCATGTCAGGTGCCCAGGGACATCGAGATGGATGGCCATAGCTCTGGAGGGGTGGAGGGGGTGGGGCAATCAAGATCTTGGTGTGGCCCTGTGGGGTTCTTCCTCAAGGGCCCCCTCGACGGACAGGTGCAGGGCACTTTGATCCAGGTGCAGTGTGCCCTCCTTCCGCCCAAGTTCTTTGGTGCACTTTGACAGTGATTCACGCAAATAATAGGGTGTTGCAACCTTAGAACACTTTGCACTGGGTGTCCCCACCGGCCAGTGGCCATGCTGGCTTTGCTGGCAAAGGCAAACACACATGGACAGACAGCCAGGACCCAGCAGAGGGGCAGAGGCTGCAGGAGCCCATTCAGAAAGTCATCTGGGAGAACACGCAGGCCAGGCACCACAGGCTGTGGGTGTCTCACAGGGTGCTCAACCACAACTCCTCATTCCCCACATTGACCACCACACTTGGCCCAGTCTGGCGGGCACACTTGTCACAGGCCACACTCCCTGGGCATCTACCTGGGAGCCAGCCGGCCACCACAGCCTTCTTGCACCTCTCAGTGCCTGAGAAATCTTAGAAGGCGCGTTCACTCAGGGTTTACTTCAACAGGATACTCCCAAACTCTCGATATTCTTTTCTTTTCATAGTTTAGAACATAAGCCCTGGGAGGCCAACTCCCTGGCACTGGCCAGTCACGCTGCAGGTGGGCAGGAGCTGCAGGGCCTGTTCTAGGGAATCTGGGATTCACATCACTCACTGGTGAGGCCAGTGAGTGTCCAGGTCAGGCTGTCCGTGCTGTGCGTCTGCATTTGGCCTTGCCTGGTGCCTGCTTATCTTGGTTGACTATGAGGGGGCCCCTCTCCCTCCCCCTTCTTCTCCCCTGTTCTAAACCTGCCCAGGTGAAGCCCCGCCTCTGGCTTCTCCTGCTGCAGGAGCTCTCAGATGCTGCTACAGCCCCAGGTACCTACTTCTTCGGAATTTCCACCCTCCTGAACACCCCATCTCGGTGATCCACCCGTCAAATGCCTACGTGGCAGGGAGTGTACCCAGCTTTGTGTCCTGGCTGTGAAGTAACTAGACCAACTGCTCTCAAGGGACGAACTTTCCAGTCGGAACAGAGGGGAGGACCCGGGCACTCCTGAGCCTGAGCTGCCGGGGACCATACCCGTTTGTACAAGTGGAACAGGTGGATTGCCCAGGTGGGACAGTGATTTTTCAGGCATGGATACTGGAGGCTATGAGGGTACCCTGGTGTGCGGGTGCCAGGAGGGAACAGGAGGAGTACGCTCTACTGGAGGGTGGAGCGGGCATCAGGTGCAGGGCAGGGCATGCTGGTGGTAGAGGAGATACCTGCGGTGCAGCAGAGAGGGGGAGCCTTGGTAGTGGGGGTGCCTGGCGTGGCGGGAGTGCACGTGTCGGGAGGCTTGGGGGTCGTGGATGGTGCAGGGGTATGTGGGGGTTCAGATGCTGGGGGCGGGGCTGCTGGGGGCCAGGCAGGGCTCCCAGCCAAGAACGCGCGAACACCGATCGCAAGATGAGCTCGCTCGATGCAATCGGCGCTCGCTTCCCGGGGGCGCGCCGCCGCCACGCAAACCTGCGGGCTGCGTCGACCCCGCTGCCGGCCTGAGGGCGTGTGCGTGCGTGCGCGCTCTCGGCCACGCCCACCCCGCGGGCGGCCGGAGCCCTCAGGGGCGGGGCCGTCCACTGCGCCCGCGCGAACGCGAAGGCGGAAGTGCGCGGCGGGGCGAGTGGCCTCCCGGGACTCGGCGGCAGAAGGTAACTGCCGGCGTGCGGAGGGTGCCGGACGCCGGGGAGTGGGCGCCAGGGAGCGGGAGGTGGCGGGCGCAGGGCGGCGGGCACCGGAGAACGGGGTGCGGCGGGGCCGGGGCCGCCTCGGTCTGTGGGAGAGGTGGGGCCGCGCGGCCGAGCTGGCGCCGCACCCGGGTGCCCGCGGCAGGGTATCGGGCGACGCCCCCGGGGGCGCTCGGCGGCGCGTCAGGCATCGGGACGCGCGCTGGCTCGGGACGTGGAGCCCCCGGGGGTGGGATGCCCTCGGTTGGGGGCCCCCAGCGCCAGCGCGTCGCGCCGGCCACCGCGCAGTAGCCGGGGCTCAAAGGCGTCAGGGTGCAGCCGTGCAGTTGGGGAGCTCCAGGTGCCGCGCTGGCTCCTAGGTTTCAGCTGGTGCCCGAGAGGTCCCTTTGAACCGGTAGTGGCCAGGCTGGCGCTCCTGGGCCCAGCAGGTGCCCAGCAGGCGCCAGGCGCCGCGCTGGCTCCTGGGTTTCAGCTGGTGCCTGAGAGGTCTCTTTGAACCGGTAGTGGCCAGGCTGGCGCTCCTGGCCCTGCAGGGCGCCGCACTCCCCGAATAGCTGCCGCTCGGTTTTGGGGTCTCAGGTGGAGGGGGCTGGGGTGCAGGGGACGGGTGCACGGGACGGGGGTGCAAGGGATGGGGCGTTCCTGGCGCAGGTGCAGGTGATAGCATGGTTCTCCACGGTCACAGCAGGGATGTGCCGGAAATAGTGCTTTATTTATTTAAGGTTTATTTATTTATGGTACAAGAGCTGGGGTGCAGGCCAGAGGTTGGGGGTGAGGGGGCTCCCCAGCGACAGAGTGGGGAGCAGAACAGGCAGACCCCCTGAAACCCACTGCTGAGGGGCAGCAGGAAGACAGGAGGGTCTGTTGGGCTTAGGTGTCCCTCCCTGGGTGGGATGGACTCAGGCCTGACCTTCAGGGGTGCCATGCCAAGTGGCAAAGGAAGGACTATATCCATGCCCGTTTCAGACACTGAATGGGGTGCTCCAGCGGACATGTCAGCGCCTGGGTGCGTGTCCAGGCAGAGGGGTGGTGGGGGTGTCCCCCGCACGTATGGCACATCCTGGCAGGGCAGGAGAGGGCGGTGGCCACCGTGGCCCTTTGGCTGCTGGAGCCCCACATGCAGGACACCTGAGCTGCACAGAAGTGGCCACACCCAAGGTGTGTGGGGGGGCAGGCAGGGCATTGCAGGAGGGGGGCCGCTGTCATACAGACAAGTGGAGTCCCCTCAGCAACTGGCGGGCAGGGCTGGCAGGGTGGCTTAGGCTGGGTCCTGGAGGAGCAGGTGTGTGGGGGATGTGCTAAGCCACTAGGATGCGTGATGCCCTTCCTGCAGTGAAATGCAGCTGGACCCCTATGGCACCTGCTCCCGCCCAGCGCCCCCTGCTGTTGACTCCCACTTAGAAGCGGGACCTAGGTGTATGTCCCAACAAGGCGTCTCCTGACCTGCTTGTGAGCAGGCCACGCACCCCAAGGTCCCCAGCAGTCTCTCCGAGTGCACCACCCCCGTCCAGGGCTCCTCACCTGGCCTCCCACGGCCAGAGCCCAGATGTCAGCTGCGGCTGTAGCCACCAGGGCTCTCCAGCCACTTCTCTCCCTGGGTCCAGTTCACCTCGACGGTCACCATGTTCTCTGCAAGTTGTGGACCCTCAGCTTGTCCTGTAGATCAACAGTGGCTTGTTTAGCCAGCCGCTGACAATCCTAAAGGCTTGTTCATTCTTTTTTTGAAATAGCACAGCAGGTTTCATGGACGTGCAGCAGGCTGCACCTGGCTGGCACATGCGCTGGGCAGAGCTGGACGTGCACAGCCCCCACGGTCCCATCGCCACCCTCTGGCAGGTAATGAGCGTACCTGGCACTGGGGCTGCTGAACCCATATGGACCTGTCTGAGGGAGCGCGGCTGGCCGAGCCTCCCTGGGTGAGCTGCAGGCCCGTGGGCAGCAGTGCCACACTGGCTCTTCTCAGCAGCAGGCTTCGGCTGGCCAGCTGCTGCCCACAGACTGCTCCATTTACACCCATATCTGGACCCAAGAGTGGGGGCGGAAGCGCATTCCCCTCAATTATGCCATGGGCCGTCCTGTCCCTCAGCCACTCAGGTGGAAGGGCTGACTTGGCCTGTCTCAGCTGCCTTCGTGGTTAAAGCAGCTTCGGTTGTTGTTCTCTGTGCTTGTACAGTTACTGACTGGCTTAAATGCTGAAGACATGGCACATACACTGTTGTGAGCCCTAACAATGAGCCCTTACCACCTTTGACCTTTGACAGCAGCCAGGCTGCGTGCTTGACGACTCCATGCTGGGGCGCCTGGCCCGGACGGTAGACAGAGTGGCTTCTCCCTAACATGATCACATGTGTCAGTCATTGTCAGGGAGGTGAATTATTTGGATTTGATTAACGGGAAGTTTTGAATAGGTAGATACATGTGTTAATATGTTGGGAGACTTAGACTAATTTTTTAAAGACTTTTATTTATTAATGCACACAGAACTGGGGTATAAGCCAGAGGTGCAGGGGCAATGAGAGGATTCACCAGAGACAGAGCTGGGAGCAGAACAGGCAATGGACGAAGTACACTGCTGAGGGGAGCAGCGGGTGAGACAGGAGAGGTCTGCTATGCTCTGTGGGTCACCTCCAGGTGGCGATCGAACTCGTACTGAAGCGGCCACAGCTTGGCTTAGCTTTGCAGAGTGGTGCTTCAACACACTGCACCACCAAGAGGACACTAACTATGGTTTTTAAATTGTATTTTGGCGAGAACACTGATCTAATGTTTTGTTTTAATCCCTGTTTCCTTGTTTAGGCTTTGACTCAGCAAGCAGAAGCCTGAACAAGGGGGAGGAAACCAGCAAGGCCACGTGGATACCTAGAGCGGGGCTGCCGCAGAACCATGGATCTCAAGTTCAACAGCTCCAGGAAACACGTCTCCATCACTGTCCCATCTAAGACCCAAACAATGTCACCACACATCAAGTCTGTAGATGACACTGTAGTGCTTGGCATAAACCTCAGCAAATTTAACAAACTTACTCAGTTTTTCATATGCGTTGCCGGAGTTTTTGTATTTTACCTGATTTATGGATACCTGCAGGTAAAAAAATACTTGTTTATAATATATCAGTTATAGCTCTTGAGATCACTGTGGCTTACTTCTAGGATTATAAGTAGATATATAAAGTATATATAGAACTACAATGTTGCTTAAGTTACAGGATACCAGTTTTTGCACAAATTTGCATTTTCTAGTAAGTAGGAAAGGATTGCTTCGATGTAAATCTGACCATAGGGATCAGAATTTCACAGTTAACAGTTATAAATGTATAGGGTGGGAGCAGAGATAATTTTAGGAAATTGAAATTATGACAATAAAGTTTGAAACACACTTTTTAACAAAATATAGGTAATAATAACAGTCATGGTAGTTTTTAAAAGAGAATGACCCAAGCATTGATTGGAATTTTGTAAAGTAAAATCCAACATGACTAAATGATAGCACAGTCCAGTTCACTCTTAATTCTTAGAATTCGGTAGAAAAAGATCATGTTTGTAAAGGCAAGTCAGGATGTTTTAAATCTTCCCATGGCGATCACGTTAATCCTTTGATTGTCGAATTGGTCTTTTCTGGTAGTAGCTGTTGTGTTTTTAGACTTGTGTTTTTCTCTTCTAATCAAACTTTACCAGAAACTTCATTTTCTGTGATTTTTAACTGTGCCAACTTTGCCACGGCCTCCACATCCCTACCTATGACAGGGATGCATCTTTGCCGGGTGAGTGGCCATCAGAGACCTGGACTGGAGGGCGTGGGCAGTGCCAAAGGGCTGTGGGCCAGTTCACGTGAGTCCCAGCCGTACCGACTCCATTGTTAGCGCCTGTGACTCAGGCAAAGGAGACTGAGGGGCTTTGCTAAGACACTGATAACATTCCTATTACTCGTTAGTATTGATCAGCTGGGTGGGTCTTCACAGTGATAGCACTTTGTGTCCGCGTCTTGCATAGTTGCAATGAAAACTGGAAGAGAAGACTTGTAACTCCTTCCCAGAGTGCTAAAGAGTATTAAAGCATGGCAAAAGCTTTAATTAAAATTGAATTAATTGAATTAAAATTGACTTTAATAGCTAACTCCCCCCCAGAAGATGACATGAAAAGCTAAATGTCACACTGAATGACTGTGAGAAACAGTAAATTTCATCAAATAAGCATTTGAATTTCTTTTGAGAAACGTTTTCTTCCCTTATAAATATCATTGTTTCCAAATAGCCTGGAAGCAGTCACTTCCTGAAATGGCATGTGAGGGTTCCATTACATTCTTTCTATTTGATCAGTAAGCACAGATTTTAACTTATAACTAGTTATTGCAAAAAGTATTTTTTAATTAGATAAATTACAAATAATGCTTGAAATATCTGTAAAAACATTGTTGCTTACTCACTAAGTTAGCTGTAGATCGCAACATATTTATCTGGAAACCCAGGTACAGTAAAACTCTTTTCCAGTATAACTCATCAGCCAGAAAAACTCTGTCTTAGAGCTTGAGCCTCAGTTGACGTGGAATGTGACTTTGGGGAGTTACAGGCACCCTCGTGGGCAGAACCCAGTCAGGCCCCCCTGGGGAGTAAACCCCAAAACCCCATTTACAGGCGGTGTTCAGTTTGTCTTTGAAAATAAATTCATCTCTGGATTTTACCATTTGAAATTTATTTAAAATACAGTTGAAAAGTGGGGGTGGGAGGAGTGAATCCTGCTCACTGGGTCTGATCACCTGAGGGGCATGCCCTCAGGACTGGCCAGAGCAGGGGTATGCCAGCCCCAGAGGTGCTTCCTGCGCCCCCATACAGGCTGCACAGCCACCCACCGAGGGGAGAGCTGCTCAAGCCTATAGCACGAGAGTCTCAAACACCGGCAATCTCTGATGAGGTGGCTGCTGCCACTGCCGCTGAGGGGACAGGCAAAGAGCATCTTCTCTGTGAGCTCTTAGAGGTGCTACCTCACATGGGTCAGGCGACTTAAATCTGGTCTTTATGGAACACAGGCAGGGGGTTGCTTCCTCGTCACCTCCCCTCTTGTGCCTGCCAGTGACTCCAGTGGGCTTCTGGAGTTCCCTTTGAGGTGCGTGCCAGCTTTCCATGGGCTCCTGGGGTCCCCTTTGGGACGCGCCCCAGCTTGTGCAAATGCCGAGAAACATAGCAAGCTGCTTTCCCTCGGGCCAAGGCTGGGTTCCGTGGAATGGTGCATAGGGGTTTGTCGTGAGGTGGTCGGCCAGCCCCAGACTTAATCCATGTTCATGTGTCTCTTGACAGGAATTGATATTTTCCATGGAGGGTTTTAAGCCCTATGGCTGGTACCTAACTTTAATGCAGTTTGCGTTTTACTCCATATTTGGCCTAATAGAGCTTCAGCTTACGCAGGACAAAAGGAGAAGGTACGTGGCTTGATTGTTCTGATAACTGGGTCACTTGTAGCAGCTCACGCTTTGCCTTAGTGTGGACAGCGTCTGTCAGTCCTGAGACCTGCTCCTGCATGTGTAGGGCTCTCCGGAGCCATCAGATGGCCAAGAATATTGGCCTTGACTCCCTGAGGCACCGAGGAAAGCGGTGTCCCCAAGGTCAGAATCAGCTTAGACTCGAGTTTCTAGCCAGACACGGCTTCTGGGCAGGAGCATGTGCAGATGCGGACACGTCTCTGAAACACTCATGGGACAGCGTGGCTGCAGACAGCCCCCCCGACGTGGGCCAGGGTACAGGCCCCGAGGTTCTGCTCCCCCGACAGCCTTGCTTGAAAGTCCTGAGGGCTAAGGTCACACCCTTACCCTGGAGAGGGAGCTCACAGCCTGTGAGCGCCGCTGTGGTAGTCGCTCAGGTTTATGGCCAGGACAGAGACCCTGTAGCCATGTACAGAACGCGCAGAATCTGGGGGCAGGGGTCCCCCACAGCCCCTCATGTTTGTGGGGTGGCAGGCTCACTGCAGGGGCCTTGGGCAGCTGGGGCAGGACCGGGACAGGGCTTCCTGGCTTGTCTTCCATGGCAGCATCCAGGCCGCCAGCCAGAGAAAGCACGCGCACAGCTCCCGTCACACATGCTGGTGTTTGTGCGGTCACTGGATGGGCTCGGTGGACATCTGCCCCACCTCACTCTTGGCCAGCAAATGGGCTCAAATTGAGGGGAATGCCCTGCGTCTGCAGAGATCTTCACTGGTTGCATGCTCTGACACCACAGGGGGGGTGGCCGGAGGAGGACAGTGCCTGTCTGGCCAGGTGCCTGCACGGCTGCTCTGGCGGCCAAGTCTGCGGCCCTGCGTGAGACGAGTGAGCTGCCAGCTGTGCCCCAGCCCACCGCTGTTTAAGGTGACATTTCTCTTGCTTGACTAACAGAGGTGCAGGAGCCCGGGGAGGTGTTCGGTGACAATGGAGTGCGGCCTATTCACTCCGGGGCACGTTAGACATTGCTTGGGGAGACCCTCACAGTACGAGGCCACATCCTGGCCATAATGTGTCTGAGGGCGCTGCTTCTGAGCCTGGCTTTGGCTGGCACTGTGTGTCCCTCCTGCCTGCCCTACTCCCGGGAAGCAGCGTGCATGCTGCGCAGAAGGCCCTGGGACTGGCACGACCTCTGCTGGGTTTCCCAGCCCCTCCATGATCATCGTGAGGCCATGTCCGTCTCCACTGGAGAGCTGGCCTGGGGTGGGCCCACGGACAAACTTGGCAGAGGGCACCCCCGCTGTGGCCCACAGCCCCTTCCCGTGGAGTACAAATGCCGGTCACTGTGTTGGTCCCAAGCTCGGAGTGGCCTCCAGGTGAAGGCACTGCCCCCTGGGTTTCCAGGCAGTTTGCTAACTTAGCGAGTCCCACGAATAGACAGGAATTTTATTGCCTCGTCCTAACTTGTGCATGACCCCAAATGGGAGCGAGGCATGCACAAGTGGTAGACCAGGCCCGCTGGAGACCAGCCTCCTCCCCCAGTTGTGCTTGAGACAGTGGTGGCACCCTGTGCCCGGGCACGCCTCAGGGAACCCCCGCGGGCCGAGAGGCTTAGCTGACTCCTGCTGGGAGGGCCGTGGCAGCAGTTCCAGAACCTGGCCCAGGCATCATGGAGCACAGTCGTGACGCCCACCCAGAGCCTGGCCACGCCACCCACCACCTCAGCAGAAGGGCTACCCCCGCGCAGCACCAGTGTGTCCCCCTGACACTGGGTGGGGCCACGGAAACCAGGCCGGTCAGGAAGCATGAGCCCTGGCATCCTCACGCTCCCTGGCCAGAAGCCCCATGCTGCCTGCTGCCCCGTGGGCCTGGACCCCTCTTGTGGCACTCCACCCACCAGGCTCCTCTCACCTTGGTGAGCGAGGCCAAGGGCCCCTCCACCTGCCCACTGTGTGAAGATCCTCTTTAAGCGCAGTGATGATTTGTCGGTGTTTTCTAGAAATGTTAAACATGAGGAAGTAATTAGACATTCACACTTTGTAAGCACATTATCTGACAGTACTTATGAGCTGGGTCCCAAAATGAAGATTTTAAAAATTGTCTTTTACAGAATACCAGGAAAAACCTACATGATAATAGCTTTTCTAACTGTGGGTACTATGGGGTTGTCAAACACTTCCTTGGGCTACCTGAATTACCCTACCCAAGTCATCTTCAAGTGCTGCAAATTGATCCCCGTTATGCTAGGAGGAGTTTTTATTCAAGGTATAGTAATGACATATTTTCACCCATTTGACCCGGTAGGGCATGTGGCTGTGTCCTGCTCCAGGGAGCTCTGGTTCCGCAGCTGATTCCGCTTTGAGAGCCCTGGAGCTGTCCAGGGTGCTGAGCATGGGTGCCTTGCAACGCAGCATGTCTCTGACAGCAGCAAGGCCTGCTGGGCCACCTGGCCCTCAGATGGGACCATCCAGCATTCCTGGAACAGCTGCAGATGCGTGTTCCTGCCTCATGGCAGACTCAAGAGGCCAGAAAGCCCAGCTGGGGCTGGTCCTTGGGCTCTGTGGCCAGTGCTGTCACCATGGCCAGGCCTCGTGGGCACAAAGCCCCATGAGCAGAGCCACCGTCCCCTCTGCGGATGGCCACATCCATCTGTCCTGGAGCTCGCTGGTAATGGTCCCCGGGGGGAGCCGCGGGGCAGCGGGCACTGTCCAGTGCGTCTTTGGCCACAGTCCAAGCGCAGCCTGCCACACTGTGTGCGGCTGCATCCAGGCATGAGCAGATGCCGCTGCTGCCAGCCCTGCTCAGCCCTGTGCTGCTGTCCTCGTGGCAGCATGCACCCTGACCCAGCCAGGACACGTGCCCCTTACACCCTCTCGGCGCTGCACCGGCCTTGCTGGACCTTGCTCAGTGTGGGGGAGGAGCCCTCGCAGCCAGCCATGGTAGGGGCTGCTGCTGGGCAGAGCACAGCGCTCATGCACCTAGGGGGGCTCCAGCTGTGTGACCACACTGCAGGCATGCGCACAGCCTCTGTCTGCGAAGAGTGGAGGCACCAGTTCCACCTGCCCGCGGGTGTGGGCTCCGCCCCACCCCAATGGTAACTGGAACTGGCTCCTGGCCGCTGGACGTCAGACCCTGAGCCAGCCACCCCGCTGTGAGGCCTGGGCAGGCGCCCGGCGCCCGGCGGCACTGACTGCATGTATCCACACAGGGAAGCGCTACAACCTGGCTGACGTGTCTGCCGCCCTCTGCATGAGCCTGGGCCTCATCTGGTTCACCCTGGCTGACAGCACCATCACCCCGAACTTCAACCTGACAGGTGAGGGCTGCGGCTGCTCCCCGGCCGTGCACACATTGGTGCAATGTGAGGCCCTTCACAGTCACCACAGGGCCCAAGCACTGGCTGGTGTGGCAGGGGTGGCCCTGGCACCCTGCAGGAGGGGCAGGGGCGCCCACCATGGTCGGCTCTGGGCCCAGGCCGTGCCGGCTGCCTGGTGTCTGTGGACTACTCTGTGTGGGAGTGCCGCAGAGTCGCCGTGCCCACTTGTTTATAGAGTGTGTGGGCACCAGCCAGGTATCCGGATATGGCTGTGACTGGCACTGTGGTTTACTGACAGAGTCCCCAGAGGGCAGGTGGTCGGTGGACACAGGGAACTGCCCATCTGTTTCATGAAAGTAGTTCCTGAGCGCAAACTTCACAGACACAACACCCCTGCGAGTGGCTGGGTGGCCACCGCCATGGCAGCCCTGGGAGGGGCGGGGCCCATGGCCACCCGTTTCCTGGGCTGTGAGTGGGTACTCCGTGAGAGCCACCCAGTGCCCAGCACAGCCACTCACAAGGGATAATCGGGCAGCGGCGGCCTCGCGCCCACCCTGCCTGGGGCATCTGAGCCAGGAGTGACTACCCTGCCCACAGGTGTGGTCCTCATCTCCTTGGCACTATGCGCAGACGCCATCATCGGGAACGTGCAGGAGAAGGCCATGAAGCTGCACGGCGCCTCCAACTCCGAGATGGTAACCCCACCGCCAGCCGGGGTGAAGGGGGGGTGGGTGCTCGGGAAGCGCTGTCTGGGGGGGTTCTGGCTAGGGAGATCACTGGGGGCTGCTGACTGGGGGAGCGTACTTGGGGTCACTCGGGGGACTCTGACTGGGGACGCTCAGGTACAGTGGCCCGTCACTGGCTCCTCCCTGATTTGAGGGGGTGTTGCTCATCCTAAGAAGCCCGTAACACCCAGCATTTGCTGGTTAGTCCCAGGAGGCCTGGGGTGGTCCCCTTTACCTGTCTGGGTGGCCGTGTGAGGCCAGCACCCTCTACTTCTCAATGCCAGCTAGCACTTGCGAAGTGCCCTCAGGGTGGTGTCTGCCCTCACCTGGCAGCAGGGCCCGTCTTGTCCAGGGCCAGCCACATGCTACCTACGGGGCACCAGCTGTCAGGTTTCCCCTCTGGACATCTCCCAGCAGTGACTCTGGGTGCGCCTGCCCCAGGAAGGCCGGGAGCCGATGCAGTAGTAGCTGGATAGCCCTGTACTTGCAGCTGCCCTCAGGAGGAGCATGGCTTCTTCCCAGTTGGGGTTTCTTTCAGGCCTCTCAGTCCGCTGTACAGACTAGCTGGGCTCTTGCTGAACATGCCGCATTGTTAGGCCCATCACCTCTCCTCCCCACTCCCCATGCACCTACACCTGCTGGTCCTCCCATCCTGGGAGGCTGTGTGTGTGTTAACTGCCAGGCACCCAAGGTCGGGATGTGCCTGACCCCCACAGGGGCCCCAGGGCCCCCAGGAGCCCCGGGCTAAGGCCAAGCAGTTCCTGTGGCGGAGTCACTGACGGGCTGGGCTCCAGCATGCTTGCGTGTTGGGGTTCAGCCCTCGGGATGCAGCTTTGGGCCCCTGCTGGCTTCGCCCTGGTTCCAGGAATGACAGCTCTCTGGGCGCAGCTACCTCGCACCTTGGCGACGGGCCCTCAGGCTGGTCTTGGGGTAGCAGAGTGGGCAGAACACTCCACAAAAGCCGGCTGGAGGCCACGGTGCTGCCAGCTGGTGTGGGAGGGTGAGCAGGGCAGAGGGGGCTCCTTCAGGGGCACCTCATACACCATGGCGACTCCAAAGGGCCTTATCCAGTTGCATGTGGCCTTAGAGTCCATGCAAAAGCAGCGGTGAGCACCTGCTGAGTAAGCTCATGCCTGTGTGACAGACCCAGCCACTGGGCCACTCCGCACCTGCATGTGGACATCCCCTTGGCTGGGCCACAGCCCCGAGGCCCTGGGGTGCTGGGTCCTGGGGTGCTCTGCGCATGCATGGCTGCTCCCCGGCATGGTGGGTCCCTGGGGGCTCTGCGCCACGCGTGGCTCCCCCTCCATTCCAGCTGCAGTCACCGTCAGCTGCATGGTCACTGCCTCTAGGTCCTGTATTCCTACTCCATCGGCTTCGTGTACATCCTGCTGGGGCTGACCTGCACCCGTGGCCTGGGCCCCGCCATGGCCTTCTGCTCACAGGTGAGTGCCACCCACCTCAGACGCTTCCTTGTATTTCCAGGGCCCCTCTCAGGCTCCTGGGAGCTTGATGGCCTCTTTGATGTAACCTGTGCAGGTCAGAAGGGACTTTGGAAATGCAGTGTTTCCTGTTTAAATTTACTTTACCCCTGTGCCACCCTGCACACTAATTTTTAAGCTATTCATAATGTGTAAGTGTGGGTTTTTTAATTTCGTCATTATTTCCCCATTAATTCATAACTAAATAAGAATTTTTGCTTGACTGCGCTGTTGAGTGACTTGTTATTGCTCAGGAAGTTGATTAAACTGTTTTATTTCATATGCAACACCAAGGTTTGTTTTGCATTTTCTAACAGGTTTTTTTTGACTGTTGCAGAATCCGGTTCGGACCTACGGTTACGCCTTTCTGTTCTCCCTCACCGGGTATTTTGGGATCTCCTTTGTGCTGGCTTTGATTAAAATCTTCGGGGCCCTGCTTGCTGTGACAGGTAAGGGGCACTAGCCTCAGACACCCTCCCAGAGGTGGGCAGCGGCCAGTCTCCATGACGCAGTTTTATCCCAGGCTGTTTTTAAAATATCCTAGAGAAAATGTTTGCTCTCAACTTATTTGGAGGTATAATTTGAAATCAGACATAAACATTTATCAAGTCACCCCAAAGGACATTAAAAGGACTCGCCGTTAGCAAGCAGGCTGGGTGGACACCTCCATCACCCAGGGTGCCTCCTGGGGTGTGCTCAGGCCCTGGCCTGGCAGGGGGCAGACTGGAAGGCTGCCTTTTCCTGCCGGGCCTGAGCAGCAGCGCTGCCGTGTTCCAATGGCCAGAACCTGGCGCAGCACACTTCGCTGAGGCTGAGCCGGGCCGGGAAGTGGGGGAGAGTGGCTGGGGGTCGGGCACTGGCCGGTCCCCTTGGGCCTCACATGCTGAGTGATGAGCCCAGGAACCAAGGCAGTGGCTCTGGGATGTAGAAGAGGGGAGCCGGGGGGCGGGCAGCGGGAGGCGGCATTCCCCACACCACAGTGCCCGGGGTGTGGCGGGGACGTACACTCAGCCACGCTGGCCAGCCCAGACGCTCAGCCTGGCATCCGCATCCCGCCCGAGTCTGCCCAAGGCTTCGCACCCTGCTGCTCATGCCCACCTATTGGACACCAAGCCCCTGGGTGGCTGCCCATCCGCCTGTGTGCCTCGGGGCAGTGCCCTTGGTGGGGCTCCTGCAGGCCGCTGCTGACCAGCTTCTCATTCGCAGTGACCACAGGGCGGAAAGCCATGACCGTCATGCTCTCCTTCCTGTTCTTCGCAAAGCCCTTCACACTTCAGTGAGTAGCTCCCTGGCTCGTGCCCAGCACCCGCCCCCTCCACCCCAACATGGGGTCCCGAAGGCAGCGCAGCTTTGTGAGTCCGCAAGCGTTTTTCTGTTAAAGAATGGGTAACGGGCGCAGACGTGAAGGGCGCCCGCTGGCCGAGTCAGACACTAAAGTGTACGCACTCCAGGCTGCTGGTACCACAAGCACGAGGCGGGCACTGCCGGCAGGGGCCCCGTGTGGCTGCCTCTCCCCCCCAAGCCCGGTGTGGGCTGCACAGGCCAGTTTATCCCAGAGGGCGGGGGCAACATCATGTGTCGCCAGGGCGCCGCCTTCTGCACCTGGTCCTGGGAGTTGTGGTGTGAGTGTCCAGGAGGCCTGCGAGGCAGCCACAGTGCTGGGTGCTCCTGGAGGCCTCTGCGGGGGGTGGGGTGCTCAGCATGGCTCACCCCCATCCTCCCCTCGCAGACAGACCAGGGCCTTCAGGGCACCGTGATCCCGTGAATTCCGTTCATGCTCTAGAGATATAGCGCTTGTTTCAGTACTGTGGTTAGCTGCCAGGGGCCAGCTGAGCTGCTTCAAGATGGCTGCCCGTGACTGCACCCCCTCCGCAGGTACGTCTGGTCGGCCTTGCTGGTTGTGCTTGGCATCTTTCTCAACGTTTACAGCAAGAACCTGGATAAAACAAGACTGCCGTCCCCATGTGAACTGGCGCACCGACCCGCACCAGCCAGGACGCCCCGGCCGGCCGCACAGACAGTGTAGGTGGAGGCCACCTGGTGAATCAGCTCTCAAGGGGCCCTCAGGCTCAGCAGGTGTGCAGCCAGCAGGGAAGTCTATGGGCACCGGAGTCTGCAGCCAGTGGAACCCGTGCCCCAAGTGGAACTGGGGAACCGTGCCCCGGCCCCGAGGACCTCGAGGACCCGCTGCTACAACCTTCCGTGCTGCTGGCAGCTAAGTGATTCTCTGTTATAGGAGTGAACTGGTGTCTGAAGATCCAGACAGGATGATTCCCTATAAATAAAGTTCTTCTGTGATTTTTTTTCTAAAGACCACGTTCATAGAATTATGCCGTGAAGCGGGATATGGAGGTTGGAGCCCAGCTCCCCTTCGATTTTAAAACACAGGCTCCTTCTGGTCCTTGAAAGCAGCCTTGTGAGAATCCAACTGAGGTTTCAGGGAGCTGCAAGCGTCTGGGGCTGCCAGAGGGCAGTGGGGTGAACAGACGGAGCCACCTTGTCATCACAAAAACGGGAGTTCGTGCCTCCCCCGTGGGAATTTAGTTCAATGGCCCAGGCGGAGGAGGCCAAGGAGGCCGGGCAGGCCCCACCAAGTCCCCACCAAGGCGCCATCTGCTGCAGGGTTGTGCTGCTCTGCCCCAGTTGCTGGCGGAGCTTCAGGAATCGCGTCCTCTGTGCACCCTGGGCCGAGTGAGCCTGGTGGGCAGCCGCCTTGAGGTTTGCTGGCACCCAGCCGCGTGTTGCGTGCTGGGGTCGGCGGTCTTGTTCCAACAGGTGCCTGTGCCCATGGGGCTGACCTGCCCTTGACACCCGTCATGACCGCCTCACTGGAGAGGGTGACCACGTCTGTCCCTCCTCGGTTCAGACAGGTGAGTTTCTGCCCCAAAGGGTGGGCTGTCCCTTCTATGTTGTCACAGATTTCATGGCACTGCTCGAGTCCCAGGGAGGACAGCAGAGCCGTGCTGTTTGAAACAGCCAGTGTCCTAGCCCTGCTGACTGGCACATGGACCCAGAGTGCCCAGGCCTCGAAGGCCCTTGCAGCACCCCTAACCCAGCCCGGCTTCCCTTCCTGTGGGCCTGTCCCGGTGGCCTCATGGCTCTGCCTGTACTGATACCTGAAGCCTCCTGCTGGGGTGGAGCCTCGTGGGTGGAGGGATCGCTGGCCGGTGAGGGTCTGTGATCCTAGCAGGTGTGAAAAGACCTGGCCTTCTCCCCATTCTCCGTCAGCGTTCCTGTTTTTTAAGTCTCCATGAAAGTAAGATAAACCTGTCACTCCCCTCAAGTCATGGTCTGTTGTGTTAATTTCATGGCATGTAGCCTGAGTACTTTCTGTGCTATTCTGTGGTGACATTATGAAGAAGCTGCACTCTGGTGACTTCCTGCTGGAGACACTGACAGAGCCATGTACCACAGGCCCCTCAGAGGCTTGGACCCCAAAGGGTGATTGACTGACAATCTTAATCCTGCGGTACCCCCCAAGATGTCTTCGGCATCGTGAATGGGGGGTACCGCAGCTGTGCAGCTTCACAGGGCCAGTAATGGTTGAGCAGGTGACATCACACTTGGTGATGCTGGTGGCCTGGCCTTGAACACGCCTGGCCTTGGTCCCTGTGACCAGCCCCCTGGACCTGCCCCCTCTTCCAGGACTCAGCACAGCAAAAGGGTAGGAGGAGTGAGTGATGCACATGTGAAGGTGTGCAGTTGCACCCCAGGAATTATAGCGAGGCAGACTGCTGACCCAAAGCAGAAAGAGCACAGGGCACGTCAGTGTAAAGGCACATTGGCTTTCATCCACATGTCCACCGTGCCACTGCTGCAGGGACATCCACGCGTCCTGGGTGCGTGGCCTCAGGCCATTGTGTCTAATCTGCTCTGGCTACTTCCTGAGGCCAGAAGATTCACTGCCTCATCTACGCTCACCCCAGAACTCAGTGCCTGGGCCCCAGCAGTGAAGGCCGAGATGCAGGTGGAGACGCTGCTCCCAGAGGCCTCTAAAGAGGGCACTGCGGACAGTTCCTGCTGCTTCCCGGCACGCCAGCGAGGAGAGAAGCCAGCCCCCCACGGACAGCCAGGAGGCTGCTGCCCAAGTGTCCCTCCGCTGCGGGGCCTCAAGCTGATCCTGCTGGCGCCTCTGGAAGAACAGACTCGGACTTGCAGCCACCGGCCCGCTCAGGTCAGTCTTGACACACCTGACGGTGGCTGGATGCTCTGGTCCGTGAGGCACCGCGTCACATGCCGCAAGTCCCCACTCTGCCATCCCTGGCTCTGCCGTGCCTGCCTGATTCCAAGCCCTTAGTGGGGAGGGGAGACCAGCAACGGGTCCAACGGGAAGGCAGCGAGCCAGGCTGGCATGGTGGCTGCCTCCCCCGGGGTCCCGCGCAAGCCAGCCAGCAGCCTTGAGGGAATGCCACGGGCCTCGGGCCTCCTGCCCTGGCTCTCTGACCTCGAGGCTGCGTCCACACTGGCAAAAGTAACTCAGGAGTCTGAGACAGTGTTGCGGGGGTGGGCACCAGCATGGGAGGGTTGGTGGAGGGTGAGGGAAGCATGTGCACACGTAGGGTGTCAGGGTGCACCCCCATAGGCACATGGGTTTATAAACTGCACATAGGCCCATTTTTAAAGGCCTTTATGTGGCCAGGCTCAGCCAGATGCCCCCGCCCTGCTGGCTGTCAAGCGGGCTACGGGATCGCTTTCGGCACGCAGGCAGTCAGGGCGCCTAGGCTGGCAGGTGAGCAGGTTTAGTTTCTGCCCTGATAAAGCACGATGGTAATGGGGTCTGCGGAACCTACATGGCGGCTTGGGGGTGCGGAAGGCAGTAGCCCCCACCCTCTCCTGGGTTCTTCTGCAGAACAGTGCCCTCAGCCCTGTCAGGATTAGCCTGAGAGCACCCCACTGCTGTTCAGAACCCTGTTGTGCAGGTGTGACCCCCAGTCTTGCAGGACCTTCATTCCGCAGCCCTGGGGGCCGCCCTGCCTGGACCCTACCCATCTGACCTATTTGCCAGATGGGAGACCAGGCAAGTGGGGAGAAGACGCTCCTGCACAGCCAGGGTGCCCTCGTAAAGTAACCCCTGTGTTGGTGCAAGCTCCGCCTCCATTGTTGGTATGCTGTTGTCTGCCGGGTGAAGCGCATCTGTCCTGAAGCCAGGCGAAGCTCGGACCAGTGAGAAGGTTCACGTGTTTGGCTCGCGTGAGCAGGCCACTCTGGTGCCTCCCGACGCGTGGATGGGCGTTCTTGGCGCGGCGGGCGGACAGTGAAGGCACCCACACAGACGCACATACAGCAGGAATCCGGGCGTCCCGTCTCCACTCTGTTCGGGAACAATTACAGGGGGGACTGCCGTGTGTTACACCCTGCCCCTGGCAGGCCTCTTGTTAGTGAGCCTCCCAGCCGGTCACATGGCTCATGTGGGTTGAGGTGATAATCCCCAGTCAGGCCGTCTGGGAGCCGTTAAGACTTACTGGCACGCTGCAGTTTCTCCTCTGTGGGAACAGGCGCAGCTGAAGCAGCTCATTTCCCCTGGGACATGTAACAGCGACTGCCTCCAATTTGGGGCTCACGTCCAGCAAGTTTGGGTGCAAAGAATTGAAAACACAAAATAAGGCCCCTGCCTTGTTCACTTGTAGTCTCTGGCTATTTGGGGCGGGGAGGGGTGAGGGAGCCCTTTCTTCTCCCAGGTCCTGCTCTCCTCATCACCCCTGTAGATGTTCAGTGGGCTCAGCTCTGCCTGCAGCCCCACCCCAGTGTCTGGGCACTCACCCTCTGGCTGCCAGAGTGCCCGATAGGCCCCTGAGGTTAGACTCCTGCTGGCCATCTTGGCACAT